GGCAGGAGGGCAGCCCCAGCTGAGGCCCAGGATCCCCAAGAAGAAAGGTCTGGCTGGATTAACCAGGAAAGACACATGCTTCCGAGAGCTCACAAATTCTCACTGCAATCTGAGTTTCATGAAAAACACAACACGGTTTGCTTCTTTGTCCATATCAACCTTTATTTCTGCATCACACTCAACTTTCTATTCCAGCCCAACACCCTCCTCTGTTACCACATTCCAGTGCTCTTGCTCTGAGACTCCCCTGATGAAACCACTGTGGGTAGAAAGGAAAAGCTGGCAAGTGCAGATATTTTCTTATTCGAGTGAGCACAAGAAGAAATGCAAACATTTCCTTTGGACCTCCTGGATGCATTGCAAACGAAGCCATCACGCCAGCCTCACTTCTGTTGAGTATCCCTGTGACTGCCAGTCCCTGCTTTCCCCACCCCACACTTCTCTTCCTGCTCTTGGGCCAGGAGATCTCTGCAGTCATGGTGTGGAGCCTTCTGTTTGCTGTGATTGCTGCCAGCCTGTGGCAAAGAAGGCCCTGAGTTATTTACCCTGGAGGACCAGAGGTCTTACCAGTCCTTTTCTCTGGCATCTTGCCTGCTGTATTAGCTTCCTGGGGCTGCCAGAACAAAGGGCCACAAACTGGGTGGTTTAGAACAAGAGAAATTTGTTCTCTCACAGCCCTGGAGGCCACAAGTCTGAAATACAGGTGTTGTTGGGTCACGCTCCCTCTGAAACCGGCAAGGTTGGGGTGTCCTTGCCTCTCCAGCTTCTGGTGGTTTGCTGGCCGTCTTGGTGGCCCTTGGCTGGCCACTGCCCACCTCTAGTCTCCGCTGGTGTCGCCTCATCACGCTGGGCCTGTTTATCTCTGTCCTCTAAGGCCACTGGTATTAGATTAGGGCTCCTCCCCCTACTCCAGTGCGACCTCTTCTTAATTTAACTAATTACATTTGCAAAACTTTATATCCAAATAAGGTCATATTCTGAAGTACTGTGGGTTAGGGCTTCAAAATTTCCTTCTGGGGATATGATCCAACCCATAACGCCTGCCTCACTGGAAAACTTCTTTGGCTTTGAAAATGCCCTTTTATTTGAAAAATTGAATAAGATGTCTTACATTTTTCAAGTTTTGATTGCTTTTTTTAGTCTATTCCATTTTTTCATATATCATAACCATCCATGACCCAGCAGATATTTTGATCTTGAGGAGAGAATGATCATTCCTCCCTGACTCTGAGAATTCCTGAGTCCTGGAAGTTTATATGAGGCTTTATTTGAAAGCTTAATTTTTGGATATAGCCTTTCTGGGGCTTTGTGAAGTGATGAGTGTTTGGCTTTGCCTCACCCTCAAAATGTACCTGCAGCAGCTGCTCTCCTTGCTCTGGAGCGTTTGGCTTTAAACATGTTTCTTGTCAACAGGACTGGCAACCTTGTGTTTTTCTCTTTCATTCATTCTTCTGAATATGAATGTTTAACTTCTTGCAAACCCAGTTCACTTTACAAGAAGAAATAGGTATGACTGGCTTTTGTGGCCAAGGACAGACTGGCACCTCCCGAGGGTAGTAGCAGACAGCTCCCCAGGAGCCTGGCCACATCAGGGGCTGCAAGCCATCATGTGCCATGAGTGGCCTCCAAAGGACAGTTTTAGATCAGGGGAAGTCATATTGGCATAAGGAAGGTGGTTCAAATGAGATGCAGCCCAGCCTAGTAATTAGGAACAAAGACTGAGGAGACTGGATGCTTGCTGGCTGTGCTTGGACAACTTGTGCAAACTTTGGCAAGTTTACTTAAGCATCAGTTTAATCATCATCTGTGAATAAGACTTGTCATTTCTGCCTTATAAGTTTATTATGAGGATTGGGTGAGCCAGTTCAAGAAACGTGCACAGTACTTGGCATACAGCAAGTAGCAACAATGGTTATTAATGTGAAGAGCTCCTGTTATTTTCCCCCTTTATTTAGACATTCCTTGATTTATTTTTCTACTGGTTCCAGAATAATTTTCCCTTCTAGGGCATCTGAAGGTCAAGCTTGAGAAAAAGAAACAACTAAGTGTGTTTAAGCTGTGTAGATGGAAATCTGATCAAACATGATTTTTGGGGGAAAAATAAAAGACTTTGCCAAATATTTATGCAGTGTCCAACATTAGCACAGACACTTTGTTAGGGTAGTAGGGTTAGTGGAAATAAACTACGTGTTGATTAGTACGTTAAATGTCAAGGAATTAGGTCTGCAGTGAACAAGTGGTGCAAATAGTTTTGTTTGCTGCAGAAATGCCAAGATTCCTGAAACAATGAGCTCATCATCACATTTTTCCGCCCCACCGCCCATGACAGAATCTGTGACCTGTTTGCTCGTTTTTGCCTTGGCTTTCTGGGAGGCTAGGAATGAGACAGAGTAGTGGTTCTTAAACTTTACCAGGCATTAGAATCATCTGGAGGGCTTTTCAAAGCATGGATCTTGGGTCTTAGCCCCAGAGTTGTTGATTCAGTAAAGATGGGGGCAAGGCCTGAGAGTTTGCATTTCTTTTTAACATTTTAAATTTTTTAAAAAATGAGGTAATACAGTAAAATCTCAGAGAATGTTTATTTCTAGCAAATTCTCTGGTGAAGCTGATACTACTGGTCCAGGAACTGCACTTTGAGAACCACTGATGTGGAATCCCATTGCGAGGCGTTGTGATGTGGTGTAGAGCACAGGGCACTGTAGACACAAGGACTTGGGTTCAGATTTGGGGCCATCCTTATAGCAGAGTTGTGCTAAGCAAATAATTTCTCCAAGATGGAGGTTCTTCCATTTTAAATGGAAATCATAAAATCCACCTCATTAAGAGTTGAGTTGTCTGTAAGCCCTTTGTTCACTACTTGACATGTATTAGTTTAAAAGATCCTATTAATTTCTTTTATTGTAAGATTGTTTTTATAAATCCTATAAATACTTCTGAATAGTTCGGGCAACCCAGTTTATCAAGTGAATAATACTGTTTATTTAAATAACTGAAGCAGTCTGAAAGATTTTTGTAAGATTCCACTTAGGAGTTCCAGAACCATTTTCAAGGTTGTTGTGTATTCTTTTTTAATTAAGCAAGTAGTTCCTCCCCATTTAATTATTACTAGGTAGCAAATTTCATAACAGATTGGGAATTTTATCTTTCTCTAATTTTGCACATTGGAATTTCAGAATATTTTGATGCCTAGTGTGGTAGAGGGCAGTGAAAAGGTAACAGCTAGAAGGGAAACCCTGAGTGTTCATGAACAATTAGAATCTGACTGCAATTTTGTCTACTTGTATTCAGAAGCAACCGTGTAAATATCTGCATGGCACAGAATGAACTGGGGAGCTTCTTAAACATGTACTGTCCACCTTTACACCTCATTACTAAAAGAATATGATTCAGTATGTCTACAGCAGGGCCTGGTCATAGACATGTTAAAGAATCACCCTGGATGGTGCAAAGACTACATTTCAAGAAAAACTAGGATGGGCTAGAATAGTCATGACTGCGTTCAGGTCCGGATTCTGCTGCTTAACCAGCTATGTGGATTTGAGCAAATTCTCCAATCTTGTTAACTCTTGGTGTCTTATATGTGAAGGTCTCACTCTTATTCATTAGGGCTGTTATGCAGGTTATAGTTAATAAACATAAAGTACCTAGCACAGTGTTGGGCATGAAGCACTGAAATACCCTAGTATTGTGGTACTTCTTCTAAAATGCCAGACATGGAAAGTGGACAGATCAGATAAACACAAATGTTCATAGATGGGTAGAACTGAAGTGAAGCCAATTGGCTCTGTAAATCCATAAAATGACTTAATAAGCCTTTGGAAAAGAGAATTCTTCAAAGATTATGTTGAAGTGACTGAATTGTTAAGGTGCCTTTAGATCAGGCACATTGACCACTAGTTTCCAACTCATTATAATTCTTTTTTAAAATAAAAACTCTTTATTTTGGATGCTTTAAAATTAAACAATGTTTGATTATATTGAAACAAAATTTTCAACTAATCTATTGAGTCAGTAGACTGTCATTTTTTACTGTGCCAGACATTAATTTTCTGTTAATGATCTGACAAGATAATGTCCTTTTATGAAAATAAGATACACTTCAGGATAGCCTAAATAAAACGATATTAACGCAAGAGAGTAAAGTCAATATAATTCAGTAACAGGATAGGGAAAATCCGTTTGGAAAGAAAACATTGTTACTGTAAAGACAGATTTTTATTTAGAGTTAGAAAATGCAATTTAAATAAATGTGTACTTGGGTTTCTCTCAACATTTTTGTAGCTGTTCTATAGTCCCCTAAACAGTTTTAAGATATTTTATTCTTTCCACGGGTTGGTCTTTCCCAACTTACTGTTTCTAATTTATGTGTTTAAAATTAGTATCATAGCATTTTTCATTTCCAAGTTCTTCCTGAAGGTCTGTGTCAGTGGGACTTTCAGGAGGGAATTTACCAGCCACAGTGCACATCCATTAAACAAATCTTAAGAACACAGAGGCCTAACAGGACTTTCATTTATGGGTCCTTTAGTGTAAGGTTCCCTAAGGACAGTGGTTAGCATTAATTAAAATATCTTGAAGTCTGTAAAGCACAATGACTACTGTGTGAGATGCAGTGAGGAGCTTTGAATTATCACTTGAAAATAAGCCGGGTGTAGGAAATTCCTGCTTTCTCATTGCTTTCCTGCACATATACCATTTTAAAGCACATATTCTTTGGTCACCAGGATTAACACAGTTCATTGCTCTAGAGAACAAATGTTTTATATTTTTAATCCGTTACAAAAGAGACAAAAACAATAGGCCTCATTATATATATGGTAGATGTCATATTGCCTACATGTGTAGGGATGGGAGACACCCTCAAACTACTACTAAAGGGATAAGGTGTACAAATTATGGGTTTACTGTATGTTTACAACATGCATACGAGAAAATGTATATGTAATATAAACAAAGATGTCATTTTTGAACAAGTGGGGCTTTCAAATGTTTTTTTCTAGGTTGGACACCGAGGGACAATTCAAGATTATCCAGGCTTTAGCCCATCAGCAGATGCTGAAGCAATTCGTAAGGCAATCAGAGGAATTGGTAAGTAATGCTTTACCATTTTTTTCTTAATGGTGAAGCAAATCAGTAAGTGACAGTCTAAAAATGTATTAGTTCATTGTGTCCCAGTTGGCTTAGTCAATTAGAGAAATTGGAAGAGACTTCTTAAATTTGTGAAATAGAGAGCCCAGTTTTATTAAGTCTTAATATTTGCCATATTTACTGACTATTAAACACTACCATCATCATCACTGCTGCTGACAAGAACCATCATCCTCATAAATCACTACAGATATGGCCCCTGCCGATTCTTCCTGAATCTCGTTCCCACCTCAATCCCTAGAAATAAACACCATCCTAAATCTGAGTTTATTCCCATGAAATTTGAATTCTGTAATTACACACATATGCATGGTCTCAAACAGTATAAATTGGAATCCTACAGTGTACATTCTTCTGTGACTTGTTTTCATCCTTTAACATTTTGTTTTTGAGATTTATCCATGTTGATGTGTTTAGCTCTAGTTCATTTAATTTTAATTGCGTAGGAGTCTATTGAATTACTATATCGTAAGGTTAGAATATCGATGGAAAAATTTAATTGCCTATAACTCTTTTCTATTATAATATAAAAATACCACATTGAATATCCCATTGATGTCTTGTTGTGCCCATATGCTGTCATTTCTCTGGAATATAACAATTGGAGTTTCTAGATTGAAGGAGATATAAGACTTAATGAGAAATTTTGCCAAACTGCTCTCTGAAAAGTGTATCTAAGTTAATATTCCTAGCAGCAATATACAAGACTTCCTCTTGCTCCATGTTCTCACCAGTACTTGCTAAGGTCATACTATGAGTGGGTCTAAAATTGTATCTCATTCTGTATGGGTGTATTTATTGTTTCCTCTCTCCTCCCCATCCCCCATGACTGATATGGTTCAGCAGCCTTTCTTGTTCATTTGCTTCCTCTGCTGTGAATTACATCTTCATGGCTTTTATTCATTTTTCAGTTGTGTGTCCTTCTTCATGATTGGCAAGATTTTTTAGATGAAATTCTGGATACAAAACTCTTTTTTCATTACAAAGCCATGAAAACATCTTCTCCCAGTCTGTGGTTTTCTTTTAACATTGGTTATAGTAATTTTTGTTGCATAGAAATCTTACATTTTAGTGAAATCAAGTTTACCAATAATTCCCTTTAAAATGATTTTTATTTATGTCTTTTCTATAATGAACTGATAAAGATATTCTCCTGTATTTTCTCCCCAGACTTTGTCCTATTTTTCACATTGAAATCTTTAATCTACCTGTAATTAATGTTTGTGTAAGGTGTTTAAAGGTATCTAATTGTATTTTATCTCACAGGGCTAGTTAATGGTTCCACCACAATATATTGATGAATTCATCTTTTCTACACTGATTTTTAATGCCACCTCTGTCTCATATCCTCATTTTTCTGTTCCCTGTTATATTCCACTGGTCTGTTTGCTTCTCCCTGTCTCCATCCTACACTACCATCGTTAGTATTATAAATTTATAATGGTAGTTACTATCTAGTAGAGCAAGAGCTTTTCTCGGCTTTAGCCTTCCCCTATGAATTTTAAGATCCATTTATCAAGTTCCATGAAATGTACTGTTAGGGTTTTATATCAATGTAATATTATCTTATTTCTGCCTGTGTGGGTTTGTTTTTCTGTTTTTAAATGACATATTTTTCTTTGTTTTGTCTCTGATTTCCCTCTTTACATTCAGTGTTGAGTCAGCTGCTTCATGAGATTAATGTCAAATTGAATGAATTAATGGTTTTTGTATTCTATTGCTTGTCCTTCTTTCTTACCATATGTTTCTTTGTGAGCTTTGCATTTTGGTACGTAGGCACACTTTGAGAAGTAGGTTTTTGTTTGCTCTCAGCCAAGAACTAGGTATCGTAATGGCATTTGCATTAGGGATGTGTCAGATCCAGTTTCTGAACCATGAGGCAGCTAGTTCTAGTATCTGGTCTTGAACATATGCAAAAATAAAAGATGAGAAACTGTCTGGCACACAAACTACTTGTAACTGGGTAGTTATGTCTGGAGTCTAGGAGCTTAGGGTGTGGAGATGCAGAGAAGGCGTGGAAAATTAGAACAGAGACATGAGTCAGGAGCTGGATCCTAATGAGCTGGCATGTTAGCTATGGGGCTTAAACTTTATCCTGAAGGTTACAGAGAGCCACAAGGATTTCAACCACGGGATTGACAGGATTAGATGCAATTTTAAAAAATTTGGTAAGGCACTAATATACAGCGTGAATTATAAGGGGGTCGAGTTAGGAGGTTGTTGAAGTTTCTAGTTAAATATGAATGCACAGTGGCAGAGGAGAGGACAAATTCAAGAGATGCAGATGATTGCTAACATGTAGGGAGTAAGGTGAAGAAGGGAGTACAGGATGATTCCCAGGGTTTCTGGTTGGATGACGGTAGCCATACCAGGCAGGGACAGAGAAGGGTTTCAGGCCTGCAGACTGCTGGGTGCAGCTGTAATTCTAGTGCTCAACCTGTCGCTGGGAGAACAAGCCGGGTAATGAACTCTTTCACTCCAAGAATGTTCCACTGTCATTTTTTGATTGCATTGAATCTATAGTGAACTTGACTGGGGCCAAGTGTCTTGTCAGTGGGTTTCAGCCCCAGCCAAGTTCACTATGGATTCAGTGAGACTGAGGAATGACAATGGAACATTCTTGGGGTGAAAGCGTTTATACTCAACTTTATTCCCACAGTGGCAGGTCAGTCACTAGAATCCCATCCACTCAGAGCGAGTCTGCATGCAGCAAACCAGTCTCTGCCTCTGGGTCTCTCTACCCCTGCAGCCACCTCAGTCTCTGTCCTTGGCACTGCCACCACTCCAGTCTCTGCTCTCCTGCAGCCATGCAGCTGCATCACCCAGAGCACTGGTGGGGCTCTTTATGTAGAGTCAATAATGATGTATTGCCCACATGTGTAGTGAGCAAGCCGAACAGGGCCAGGTGAGAATCCTGGCCACAGGAGTCTTCACTTTCTCCACAGCAAGTGAGATAAGTTTTCTAAACACTGTGTCTTCATCGTTAGGACAGCTTAATCATGCCTACTGCCCGGGGCTTCTCTGAGTATTAACTATGCCAGTGAATAAAAGGTGCCTAGTAGGTGGTAAGTTCTTCCATTTTTCTAAAGAAAAAGATATTAGTATACCAAGTATGGAGATAAGGGAGAAATAAAAGGCAGTATGACATTAACTGAACCTCAGAAGGTGAAAAAACCTATTTCAAAAGCAATATGCTCCTTGTGCTACTGGTTCTGTCTGATTCACGGACAGGAATATTTGGGCAATGATTGTTCCTTCCCCCCACACTATACAGATAAAGTTAATTTTTTTTTCCAAAGCGAGTCAAACAAAGAAATAAAGGTTCCAAACTGGTAAGAACCTGGAAATTAAAAACTAAAGCACTCTGTTATTTGTTTCAGACCACTGATCATTTTTCTTTTGTTCATGACAGATACTAAGCATTTCTGGGTTGATGGTGAGTAAAATTATTTGTTTTGTTTAGGAACGGATGAGAAAGCGCTCATCAGCATTCTGACTGAGAGGCCGAATGCACAGCGGCAGCTGGTCGTTAAGGAGTATCAAGCCACGTATGGAAAGGTACGGCTTGATTACCGTAACAGGCAGGGGAGAGCGAATCACAATGGATCACTCATGCTCCCATGTAACTATGCCCCCGGATCTTTTGTTTTAAGTGAGATAAGTTTTCTAAACACTGTGTCTTCATCGTTAGGACAGCTTAATCATGCCTACTGCCCGGGGCTTCTCTGAGTATTAACTATGCCAGTGAATAAAAGGTGCCTAGTAGGTGGTAAGTTCTTCCATTTTTCTAAAGAAAAAAATATTAGTATACCAAGTATGGAGATAAGGGAGAAATAAAAGGCAGTATGACATTAACTGAACCTCAGAAGGTGAAAAAACCTATTTCAAAAGCAATATGCTCCTTGTGCTACTGGTTCTGTCTGATTCACGGACAGGAATATTTGGGCAATGATTGTTCCTTCCCCCCACACTATACAGATAAAGTTAATTTTTTTTTCCAAAGCGAGTCAAACAAAGAAATAAAGGTTCCAAACTGGTAAGAACCTGGAAATTAAAAACTAAAGCACTCTGTTATTTGTTTCAGACCACTGATCATTTTTCTTTTGTTCATGACAGATACTAAGCATTTCTGGGTTGATGGTGAGTAAAATTATTTGTTTTGTTTAGGAACGGATGAGAAAGCGCTCATCAGCATTCTGACTGAGAGGCCGAATGCACAGCGGCAGCTGGTCGTTAAGGAGTATCAAGCCACGTATGGAAAGGTACGGCTTGATTACCGTAACAGGCAGGGGAGAGCGAATCACAATGGATCACTCATGCTCCCATGTAACTATGCCCCCGGATCTTTTGTTTTAGGCTGAGTGTCACACAAGGTCCCCAGCATATTCAGTCAACAGCCTGGGTCCAGGTGACAAGTGAGAGTGTGTAGTGAGCACCTGAGGTCCACTCAGGCATCACCTCCTGAAAGTGTCCTCCAAGCCCCTCAGACTTCATTAGATACCCCTCGGCAATACTTGACCTTCATGCTTTACCACACACTTAGCATATCCTACTGACATTTTGCCTTTGAATATTTCTGTTTTTCCCATTAGAGTATAATGTCCTAAGGGGAAGGATTGTGTCTAATTCACCTTCAAATGCTGAGCACAGAGCAGGTGCCCAGTGTTTGTTGAAAATGAATTGTCAAGCTTCTAGGCAAGGCAACACACTCAGGGATAGGGAACGTGAACGGTCCATTGGCTGTTCAGGATCTCCAAAATGTGGAGGAAGGATGGAGGTGACAAGCAACCATTTCTCACAGTGGGATAGAATGAGAGCATGTGAGGTAAGACTCAGTTGCAAAGTTGAGAACAGATGGTGGTGGAATTTCGCATTTAGAGAGGCAGCACCTGTGGCCATTAAAGCAGAGCTAGTGACATTGGCTCTCTCTCATTTGTTTTGGCAGGAGCAGGCCCCCTGCAGGGGCATGATTACATGCTGCTGTCTATCCACAATGTCATAGCATCTGGGAGGCTGCCAGCATGTTTCAGAGCTGAAAATAATTGAAAGCAGGAATAAATAATTATTCATTAACACTCTTGAATATTGAGAACAGAAACCATATTACCTGACTTCAGGCAGGGGAGAGGGACTGTACTTATGTAATGTGTGAAAAACAGTGCCAAAGGGCACTCTCAGTAAGTAGTGTCTGCCTCACTGCCACATCTAGGGTTTCCCCTTCTCTTGTCGCAAGAAAACTGCTTCTGATGCCTCCTAGTTCCACACTCCTACCAGAGGCGAATGACCAGTTGAGGCCTGTCCTTCTCCCTTCTTTCTGCAGCTTTTTGGCCATCACTAAGAAGCAAGCCAGGACTAGAGCGCCTACCAGTGAAGCTGGGTGTGAATTCTAAGGGCTGCCCTGCCCTCCCTCTCTCTTCCCTCACACCATCCCATACATTGAGAGCATCAGGACCCTGGGAAATGCATTTTAATACACTGTCCCTACCTGTGGCACTCAACCCCTTCCATGGGCTTTCCTTCAGAAAACCTATAATGAAACAGAACATTCTGGGAGCAGTCATAAAATGCAAATTAATATCCATAGAAATACTTTCACCATTTCTGTTTATTCCCTGTGGATTGGCATGCTTCCATCTGAATTGACACATATATTCCTCTTTCACTAGGTGACAGAGAAAGAGAAAGGACAAGTATTCATGCTTTCCTCTTCGGGTTTTTTTGTTTTAGGATCTGAAAGATGACTTGAAGGGAGATCTCTCTGGCCACTTTGAGCATCTCATGGTGGCCCTCATGACTCCCCCAGCAGTGTTTGATGCAAAGCAGCTGAAGAAATCCATGAAGGTATCTGCCTGATCTGCTCAGGATTTGACTCTGTCATCGAAAATAGTGGCTTTCTTCCAATGTACACTTGAGCTATGGGTGTAAATGCGAAAAGGTGTGGATGTCATTTTGCTTCTGTGCTCTCCAGTTGGTAGAACAACCCTGAAATGGGGAGCAGTTTTGGAACCTTGAGTCCACATGTTCCTGGGCTGAAAGGATATTGCCATATCCTAATTTTGTTTGTTTTTGACCTGAGAGTCAGATTCTCTATTTTGTTGTCATGAGAGTGGCACACCATCATCAACATTTTACTTAGGCTAAAAATCCAGCATTATATATCCCCTGCTTTCTCTCACTCTTCAAAGCTCTCAAATCTATCTGCAAGTCCATTAGCTCTACTAAAATAACTATCAAAAATGTGTCCTCATGTCTCAAAATCCATTGCTAGTTCAACCACAATATCAGTATCTCTTGACCATATCAGTCCTAATTGGTCCCTTTCCTCCATTTTGCCCACCTCAAATCCATTCACTAAAGAATAGCCAGAGTTATTTTTATAAAGTAATTTTTAGAATCAGATTATATTTGTTCACCTGCATGAGCCTCCATTGGCTTTGAGTACTTAAAATCAGAACTCCTTACCATGACCAACATGGCCTGCCTCTGTGACTTTTAGAAATTCTTTCTGCATCAGTTAGGGTTCCCAGAGAAGCAGAACCAGTAGGCAGGAGAATATATTCAGAGATTTATTGCAAGGATTGGTTATATGATTATGGAGCTATCTAGGCAAATCCAAAACCTGTAGGGCAGGCTGTCAGGAAGGACAGCTGGAACCCTCAGCACAAGCTGGAGCTTTTGTGCATGGCAGGAATACCTTCCTCAGAGAAGCCTCAGCTCTGCTCTTAAGGCCTTTGAAATTGACTGAATTAGGCCCACCTAGGATATTGAAGATAATCTCCTGTAAAGTCAGTATGATAATGGACTTCAGTTACATCTTCAAAATACCTTCATAACAATATCTAGATTAGTATTTGATTGAATAACTGAGTACTGTAGCCTGGACAAGTTAACACACAAAACTGACCACTGCACTCTCTGTCCCCTTCCCTACCCCAGCTGAATGCTATGGCTACTCTGGCCTTCTTTCTGCTCCTTGAACATTCTAAGCTTGTTCCTAGTTTGGGGCTTTTGTACATGATGTCCCTTCCATCTGGAATGCTCTTCCTCCAGATATTTTCTATTAATTCACTCAGTTTTTATTTCCTTAATTGCACCTATTACCACCTAAAATTATGTTGTTGTTGTTTTTGTCCATTTGTTTCATATTTTTTCCAATCTGGTGAAAAGGCAAACCTCCATCACAGCAGGGAACCCTATCAGTCTTGGTGTGTATCTTCTGTTCCTGGAGGAAAGCCTGAAATGAAGTGGGCCAACATATTTGTTGATGGGAAGGAGGGAAAGGAAGGAGTCTAGGTCTGCAGTGTAAGCTATATTCTGCCTTCCTGTTAGAGACGGGAGTTACATTCTTTTCTGTAGAAGTATGAGCTCCCAAGAAGCAGATGGCAAGGTGGAAGCATATGTACAAAAGATTTATTGAGGGAAATCCTCATGAAGGATAAAGAGGAGAAAGAGCAGGGTAGGTGGGGTGACCTTCAGACTGCAATGCCAGTCTGACACCTGTGAATGGAGAGAGGGAAGCAAGTGGGCTTGGATAGGAAGAGCCTCAGTGTATAGTGCACCTCTGAGAAAGCCTGGCAGGCTGAGAGGAGCCCCTGAACAAAGACTGCCCTCTGGAGAAATCCTCCATCAGGTGGAAATGGCCCAGCTCCAGTATACCTTCCATGCTCAGCCATTGGCTGAGAACAGCCTCCAGAGAGCATGACCTCAGCATGAACTTTGTGGCAGATCCACGGGTGTGACTGTTGGAGGCTGTCAACCAACTACATTCTTTGCAGCTGATTCTCTTGAAATGAAATCTGAGCAGTGATAATTCTACGGCTGCCCCATGGAAGACAGCTTAGCAGATGTAACAGTAAGGATTAGATTCACCAACAAGGATTCAAAAACTTTCTTTCTTATACTAAAGAAATTCAAAGTAAATAGTCCAGAGCTGGGGTATGGCACCACCATTATTAGAGATTCAGGCTCATTCAGTCTTGAAGGTCTGCCATTTCAGCCTATAGATTCCACTCCTGGGCTAAAGATGGCCGCTCAAGATCCAGCCATTGTATCTTCATCCCAGTCAGCTCAAGATGGCAGTGTGAGTAGGGTGGTGGAAATCTCCTTCCAAAACCATATCTATTTTTGAAAATACAACAAATAAAACTATTCCTAAGAGAGAGACCAGAGGATACAGTACAACAGCCAGGCTACATCTACATCTGCGAGAACTCAGCATCTCATGAAGATACAAAGCCATGACCCAGTGGGACCTGGGCACTCCTCCCACCCCAGCTCACTGGTGGGAGGGAAGGAGTTGGAGTGGAGAGGGCGTGGAAGCACAGGACTGCTAAATAACCAGCCCTAGTAATCTGCACCGGAAGCGCAGACACACATTGATGGTGTGCTGGAAATTAGAGAATCAGAAGGGTAGGGTCCAAGACGGAGACAGCTGGCTCCTCTGGGACAAAAGAAAAGCAGGCACCTTTTAAAAGTCTTAAAGGGACAAGGGCTCAACAGCTGAACAAAATTGTCCCAGCACACTCAGCCCAACATGCTGGGAATCTTGAGGAACTTTGGGCTCCCAAGCCCCCTGGGGGGAAAAGCAGCCCCAATGCCCCTCACGGTGATAAGCAGCCTGCTATTCTTTTGCCCTGGCCAGTGCTACAAGCAGAGCAACCGGAAAGCAGCCACAGCTGCAGAGCAGCCGGAAAACGGCCCTGCACACAGCAACCTCACAGTCTCCTCCCACTGCGCAGCTACCTGGGACGGGCAGTGGAAGCTGGAACAAGGTCCAGAAGGCATGAAGGGGTGCCATTCTTGCAGAAGAACACACCCGGTGTGGCTGCGACTCCCTGCAGCGCTCTAGGGTAGACTGAGGGAGGCCCTCCCCATGGCAGCTCAGGAGATTGTCCCAGAGTCTGCTCCCAGTGTGCAGGTAACTGGCACAGACAGGAGAGAAGGGCAAGGTGACCAACAAGCAGGAAGGGACTTTGTTCTCCCAGCTGACACACGTGCCACCTGCCCGTGACCACTTCTAACACCATGAAAAAGCAGAAGAATTTGGTACAGTCAAAAATCATTCAGACAAGCCCAGAGAGAGGGCCTGATGAGATAGATATAACCGATCTTCCTGAAAAAGAATACAAAATAAAAGTCATAACCATGCTGAAGGACCTACAGAGAAATATGCAAGAGCTAAGGGATGAAGTCCGGAAGTGAAACAATTGATAGAAGGGTTAAGAGTGGACTGAATGAGGTGCAAGAGACTGTTAATGGAATAGAAATCAGAGAACAGGAATACCGAGAAGCTGAGGCAGAGAGAGATAAAAGGATCTCTAGGAACGGAAGAATATTAAGAGAAATGTGTGACCAATCCAAGCGGAACAATATTCACAGTATAGGGGTACCAGAAGAAGAAGAAGAGAGAAAAAGGGATAGAAAGTGTCTGTGAAGAAATAATTGCTGAAAACTTCCCCAATCCAGGGAAGGAGATAGCCTCTCAGACCATGGAAGCCCACAGATTTCCCAACACAAGGGACCAAGGAGGGCAACACTAAGACATGTAATAATTAAAATGGCAAAGATCAAAGACAAGGACAGAGAAAAGGCAGCCACAGAGAGAAAAAAGGTCACCTACAAAGGAAAACCCATCAGGCTATCATCAGACTTCTCAACAGAAACCTTATAGGCCAAAAGAGAATGGCATGATACATTTAATGCAATGAAACAGAAGGGCCTTGAACTAAGGATACTGTATCCAGCATGATTATCACTTAAATTTAATGGAGGGATTAAACAATTTTCAGAAAAGCAAAAGATGAGGGAATTTGCCTCCCACAAACCACCTCTACAGGATATCTTTAAAGGGACTGCTCTAGATGGAAGCACTCCTAAGGCTGAATAGATGTCACCAGAGAAAATAAAATCACACCAAAGAAAGTACACCAACCAAATACTAACTAAAGGCAAAGAATAAAGTCAACTATTCACAAAAGCAGTCAGAGGAAACACAAAAGAGTACAGAATAAAACACCTAACATACAAAGAATGGTGGAGGAGGAATAAGAAGAGAGAGAAATACAGAATCATCACACTGTGTTTATAAAAGCTTAATAAGAGAGTTAAGTTAGATGGTGAGATAGTAAAGTAGCTACCTTCGAACCTTTGGTAACCACTAATCCAAAGCCTCCAATGGCAACAAATACTTATCTTTTGATAAGCACCCTAAATGTAAATGAACTGAAAGCACCAATCAAAAGACACAGAGTAATAGAATGGATAAAAAAGCAAGATCCATCTATATGCTGCTTACAAGAGATTCACTGCAAACCCAAAGATATACAAAGACTAAAAGTGAAGGGATGGAAAAAGATATTTCATACAAACAATGGGGAGAAAAAAATCAGGTGTTGCAGTACTTATATCAGACAAAATAGACTTCAAAACAAAGAAAGTAAGAAGAGATAAAGAAGGACATTACATAATGATAAAGGGGGCAGTCCAACAAGAGAATATAACCATTATAAATATCTATGCACCCAACACAGGAGCACTGACATATGTGAAACAAATACTAACAGAATTAAAGGAGGAAATAGAATGCAATGCATTCATTTTGGGAGACTTCAACACACCACTCACTGCAAATGACCAATCAACCAGACAGGAAATAGGTAAGGACACAGAGGCACTGAAAAACACACTAGAACAGATGGACCTAACAGTCATCTACAAAACTCTACACCCAAAAGCAGCAGGATACACATTCTTCTCAAGTGCACATAGAACATTTTCCAGAATAGACCACATACTAGATCACAAAAAGAACCTCAGTATATTCAAGAAGATTGAAATTCTACCAACCAACTTCTCAGATCACAAAGGTATACAACTAGAAATAAATTGTACAAAGAAAACAAAAAGACTCATAAACACATGGAGGCTTAACAACATGCTCCTAAATAATCAATGGATCAATGACCAAATTAAAACAGAGATCAAGCAATATATGGAGACAAATGACAACAACAGCACAAAGCCGCAACTTCTGTGAGATGCAGCAAAGGCAGTTCTAAGAGGAAAGAATATAGCAATCCAGGCCTATTTAAAGAAGGAAGAACAATTCCAAATGAATACTCTAAAGTCACAATTATTGAATGGAAAAAGAAGAACAAATGAGGCCCAAAGTCAGCAGAAGGAGGGACATAATAAAGATCAGAGAAGATATAAATAAAATTGAGAAGAATAAAACAATAGAAAAAATCAACGAAACCAAGAGCTGGTTCTTTTAGAAAATAAACTATAGATAGATAAACCCCTAGCCAGACTTATTAAGAGAAAAAGAGAATCTACACACATAAACAGAATCAGAAATGAGAAAGGAAAAATCATGATGGACCCCACAGAAATACAAAGAATTATTAGAGAATGCTATGAAAATCTATATGCTAACAAGCTGGAAAACCTAGAAGAAATGGACAACTTGCTAGAAAAATACAACCTTCCAAGACTGACCAAGGAAAAAACAGAAAATCTAAACATACCAATTACCAGCAATGAAATTGAATTGGTAATCAAAAAACCAACCAAGAACAAAACCCCCGGGCCATATGGATTCAGCTCTGAATTTTACCAGACATATAGAGAAGACATAATACCCATTCTCCTTAAAGATTTCCAAAAAAATAGAAGAGGAGGGAATACTTCCAAACTCATTCTATGAAGCCAGCATCACTCTAATACCAAAACCAGGCAAAGACCCCCACCAAAAAAGAAAATTACAGACCAATATCCCTGATGAAAATAGATGCAAATATACTCCACAGAATACTAGCAAACAGAATTCAAAAATAAGTCAAGAGGATCATACACCGTGATCAAGTGGAATTCATCTCAGGGATGCAAGGATGGTACAACATTCGAAAATCCATCAACATCATCCACCATATCAACAACAAGAAGGACAAAAACCACATGATCATCTCTATAGATGCTGAAAAAGCATTTGACAAAATTCAACATCCATTCATGATAAAAACTCTCAACAAAATGGGTATAGAGGGCAAGTGCCTCAACATAATAAAGGCTGTATATGACAGACCCACAGACAACATCATATTAACAGTGAGAAGCTGAAAGCTTTTCACCTAAGATTGGGAAGAAGACAGGGATGCCCAATGTCCCCACTGTTATTCAACATAGTACTAGGGGTCCTAGCCACGGCAATCAGACAAAACAAAGAAATACAAGGAATCCAGATTGGTAAAGAAGAAGTTAAATTGTCACTATTTGCAGATAACATGATATTGTACATAAAAAATCCTAAAGACTCCACTCCAAAACTACTAGAACTAATATCAGGATTCAGCAAAGTTGCAGGATACAAAATTAATACACAGAAATCTGTTGCTTTCCTATATACTGACAATGAACTAACAGAAAGAGAAATCAGGAAAACAATTCCATTTACAATTGTATCAAAAAGAATAAAATACCTAGGAATAAACCTAGCCAAGGAAGTGAAAGACCTATACCCTGAAAACTGCAAGGCGCTCCTAAGAGAAATTAAAGAGGACACTAACAGATGGAAACTTATCCCATGCTCTTGGCTAGGAAGAATTAATATTGTCAAAAGGGACATCCTGCCTAAAGCAATCTATAGATTCGATGCAATCCCTATCAAAATACCAACAGCATTCTTCAACAAACTGGAACAAATAGTTCAAAAATTCATATGGAACCAAAAAAGACCCCAAATAGGCGAAGCAATCCTGAGAAGGAAGAATAAAGCAGGGGGATCTTGCTTCCCAACTTCAAGCTCTACTACAAAGCCACAGTAATCAAGGCAATTTTGTACTGGCACAAGAAAAGACCCACAAACCAGTGGAATAGAATAGAGAGTCCAGATATTAACCCAAACATATATGGTTAATTAATACATGATAAAGGAGCCATGGATATACAATGGGGAAATGACAGCCTCTTCAACAACTGGTGTTGGCATAATTGGACAGCTACATGTAAGAGAATGAAACTGGATCACTGTCTAACCCCATACACAAAGTAAATTCTAAATGGATCAAAGACCTGAATGTAAGTCATGAAACTATAAAACTATTAGTAAAAAACATAGGCAAAAATCTCTTGGACATAAATATGAGCAACTTCTTCATGAACATATCCCCCCGGGCAAGGGAAACAAAAGCAAAGATGAACAAATGGGACTATATCAGGCTGAAAAGCTTCTTTACAGCAAAGGACATCATCAATAGAACAAAAAGACATCCTACAGTATGGGAAAATATATTCATAAATGATATATCCGATAAAGGATTGACATCCAAAATATATGAAGAGCTCATGCACCTCAACAAACTAAAAGCAAATAATCCCATTAAAAAATGGGCAGAGGATCTAAACAGACACTTCTCCAAAGAAGAAATTCAGATGGCCAACAGACACATGAGAAGATGCTCCACATCACTAATCATCAGGGAAATGCAAATTAAACCACAATAAGATATCACCTCACACCAGTAAGAATGGCCACCATCCAAAAGACAAACAACAACAAATGTTGGCTAGGATATAGAGAAAGGGGAACCCTCCTACACTGCTGGTGGGAATGTAAATTAGTTCAACCATTGTGGAAAGCAGTATAGAGGTTCCTCAAAAAACTCAAAATAGAAATACCACTTGACCCAGGAATTCCAGTCCTAGGAATTTACCCTAAGAATGCAGGATCCCAGTTTGAAAAAGACATATGCACCCCTATGTTCATCACAGTACTATTTACAATAGCCAAGACATGTAAGCAACCTAAGTGTCCATCAGTAGATGAAGGGATAAAGAAGATGTGGTACATATACACATGGAATATTATTCAGCCATAAGAAGAAAACAAATCCTACCATTTGCAACAACATGGATGGAGCTAGAAGGTATTATGCTCAGTGAAATAAGCCAGGCGGAAAAAGACAAGTATCAAATGATTTCACTCATCTGTGGATTATAAGAACAAAGCAAAACTGAAGGAACAAAACAGCACACTCACAGAATCCAAGAAGGGACTAGCAGTTACCAAAGGGAAAAGGACTGGGGAGGATGGGTGGGAAGGGACGGACAAGGGGGGAAAAGGGGCATTACGATTAGGAGACATAATGTTGAGGGTTGGGGGCACAGGGAGAGCTGTATAACAGAGAAGAGAAGTAATGATTCTACAGCATCTTACTACGCTGATGGATGTGACTATAATGGGGTATGTTGTGGGGGGACGTGGTGATGGGGGGATTCTAGTGGCCATAATGTTGCTCATGTAATTGTAGATAAATGATACCAAAAAAAAAAAAGAGTAAGGTACCGAATGGGGTCATTTCCTGTCTTTAACAACTCAGAAATTGTGCATTATATTTCAGATACATCCCATTGATCAGAATTTAGTTATAAGGATAAACCGAGCTCTAAGGGAAGCTGAGAAATACGTATTTATTTGATTGCTATGCACTAAGTTAAAAATTGGCATTTCTATCACTAAGCAAGGAAGATAAAAGAGATACTGGATCCACTCAATTTTGCTATGAACTTAAAACTGCTCTAAGAAATAGTCTCTTAAAAAATAACAAAATAAATAATTTTAAAAGGTGAGCTAATGGGGGCAACCAGGAATCTCTGCTACAGAGGGAAAGAATTCAGCCTCTGTTCATATGCTGCATTGACCTTACTTGACCAAGTCCTGGTATAAATGGCCTCTAGGAATGTGTGATTTAGTAATCTGTATATGCCAAGGCTCAGAGGTATAGTCCCCAAATCAGCTGGGCCCATGACATGCACTCCTGAGACTTTAAAAAATCTTCCTGCATAAAGCAGATAATACATGCTCCCCAGCCCTTGCATTGGTGCAAGGACGAATTCATTCAAGTGTTGCAGAGCCCTTTCTAAATATAATAGTGTGTTTGAATGCTCACCTCTGATTTTGAATAATGTAGTCTTTTCCCTTGATGCTCTTCATTCCTAAAATTATTCAATTGATTTTTACACTAGAGTAGGACATTTTCTTGAGAACTTTGATGTCAGTTAACTCCAGATGATTCATGTTAATACCAAAATATATGGAAAATTAGAGAACTACTTTAGAGCAGTATAGGACCTACATTGATTTACTCAAAGCTGTTCTTTTTATCATCTGTATAAAATAAGATATGAAGGCTGAAATGCATGAAATTAAGTTTTTCAGTGTTCTAATAATAGATTCCCTTTTCCTTTTTAGGGTGCTGGGACAAATGAAGCTGCATTGATTGAAATCTTAACCACCAGGACAAGCAGGCAATTGAAGGAGATCTCTCAAGCCTACTACACAGGTAATCTTATTTTCTGCATGCCTTTACCATATGTGATCCAATGTTTCTTTCCCCAGAAACCTCCCAAACTCTTCTTCACAAGGCATTTTGAGAAGGCAAGACATTAAAGGGAGGATACATTCTAAAGCAGCCTAAGGTCTGTGGATTTTCAGAGAAAATTTGAGTATGGTTTGAGCTAGATGATGCTACGTAACAATTGTATTAAAGCTTTGCACTTGTGACATGACAGCTGTAATGTATTGACTGACAGCAATTACTGCTTAACTGACTCAACAATTTCCCTCAATGTAAGTGACTCAAATCATTGTCTATTAATATTATATGTTTAAAACCCTGTGATATTTGGTGTGGGAAATTAGTGAATCATTTAGAGAATGTTGAGCATAAAGATTCAGTATAAAGTCCTAGTAGTCTGTTAGCTGTATAAAAATTAGAAAGCCCCTGCAGTGCAATTCTGACACCACCTGCCCAGGGTTAACATGGCTTCACAAGGTAACACACAGTCCCCACAGGAGTCCCCTCACATTAGACACCAGCCACAAGCACAGGTGTTCCCAGGCCACATGCATGTCTGACCAAATGGCTACCACTTCAGAGTTCTCACTACTCCTGCAGGTTCAATAGCTCACAGAATGACTCATAGAACTCAAGAGCACTGTACTTACAGTCATAGTTTTACAATTCAGGACCAGTCAGATGAAGAGCTACAGAGTGAAAAGTCTAGGAGGGTCCTGAGAGCAAAGCTTCCATGTCCCCAAGATGCATCATCCTCCTGGCACACTGATGGGTATTTACCAACCAGGGGAGCACACTTGATCTTTGGCATCTAGAGTTTTTATTTGTGTTTCCTTACACAGGATGAGTGATTGAATCACTGGCCACATGACTGAACTCCATCTTCTATCCCCCTCCTCTCCCTGGAGGTCAGGCTGATGTCAGGTGGCTTAAAGCCCCAGCTCTCTAATCACATGGTTGCTCTTCCTGGTGTCACCAGCACCTGTCTTCAGTCACCTTCTTAGTGTAAGCCCAGGTGTGGTTCTTGGGACCTGCTATGAATAACAAAGATATTCCTATTATTTGGGAAATTCCATGGATTTAGAGGTTACCTCCCAGGAATCAGGGACAAAGACCAGCTCATCCTATATTACACAGCAACCGCATTTGACCCAATCCAAGCACCTCAAGGGGGCCATGCTTTCTGTCTGTGTGTGTGTGTCAGGGAGGGTCTGCAGTGGGAGAGGCCCAAAGAAGGGATATACTGGTCCCCAGTGGATATTAGAGAGGGTATTTTTTTTTTGAGAGGGCATCTCTCATATTTATTGATCAAATGGTTGTTAACAACAATAAAATTCTGTATAGTGGGGTCAATGCTCAATGCACAATCATTAATCCATCTCAAGCCTAGTTCTCGTCAGTCTCCAATCTTCTGAAGCATAACGAACAAGTTCTTACATGGTGAACGAATTCTTACATAGTGAATAAGTTCTTACATGGTGAACAGTACAGAAACTTTCGGTTCTGATCACACATTATGAACTATAAAC